GGATTCTTATTGAGATCCCACTGTATGAGATTATGGACAAGACATAGAAGATAAATGCTCTTTTTATAATGCATGCAACCATGAGCAGGATTTGTAAGCATAAGTATTAAAGCAGCACACTAGGGCACTTTCCTTTTTATTTCTTTTGGCAAGTATATTCAATTAAGCAATTGATTTTCACATAAAGAACAATTTCATTTTGCAAGGCTGATTTGCTAGCAAATGAGCAAGAATTATAAAGAAGCCTGTTGCCATACATTTATTCCTTCCACAGCAAGAACAGTGTTTGAAAACTAAATTGGCACAACGGGGATGGAACAATATTGATCTATAAACAAAGATGGAAGGCATAATCATTTATGTGCAATTTCTACTTAAAGCAGTCATTTTGCTGCTCTCTAATTATTAGTGAATGAATTTATGTGCAGAGACAATTAAAGGGACACCACACTACTGGAATCTTGGGTCTATCCATACCATAGATTTAGGCTGGCCATTCCTGTTCCCCCAGAGGACTCTGGGAAATGAAATTCTGTAAGGGCTAAAGATTGCTAGCTGTATTGTCAGTAGCTTTGCCAAAGTACAGAATTCTTTAGGAGAAGTTTTAAATCAGTATAAAATAAATCTGCTACTACATGTGTGACTTGAACTTTCTGCACACAAACCAGATCACCAAACTTTGGGGGCCAATGGACACATATGAAATTTTGAGATAGTGTTCTAGCCGCCAGTCACAAAATGGCTGCAGTGAAGGGTGCATTGTAACACAAAATGGCTGCTATGTCAGCATGGCATAATGGTTGCCACATCTAAAAGAGCAAAATAAGAGGCAGGACAACAAAATGGTGTGTGTGTGTGCCCCCCCCACCAATCAACAGACCCATCAATGGGACAAAAGGCACCTACAACAGCCACTGCCCCACCTCTTCAATGTGAGGTGGGGGCATCCAATCCTGGCATCCAATGAAAAATGAGCATCTTTAAGGGAGCCATGCCCAATGTATGAGACACTGAGTGCAAACTGTAACTGAGCGGGGAAAACAGTTTCTTGTGCATTATGGATTTTTAAGGGAATATTTACGGAGATTTTTTGCAGGCACCATAAAGGTATTGACAGGCATGCAGGCAAGCTTATATTTTCAAACACCTGATGCTCAGTGGAGTTCAGATGTGGAGAAAAAAATCAGACCCATTTTTAGACAGTGTGTTGTCATGTGTCACTAACCAGTACCAGAGTGAAAATGGATGTAGGCAGGAAAAAAACAAATTCCCAGAGCAAAAACAAGAATAGGAATATTAAAGCAGCACAATTCTCATGGTTTACAAAAGGGACACTGACTCCAAAAGAACTGAAAAATGTCTTATCCAGTGACCACTGTGCTTTGAAGATGGAGATTAACCTAAATTTAGAGAAAATGTGTTGCAATTGTTTATCCAGTGGAGAATATGATGAAGGATGCTTCCACACTGAGTATTTACTATGGAAAAGCCACACTTTGTTCACTCACTTTTAAGGAGGCATCTGCACAATGACGTGAATAAAATATTCTCATGCCATCTTCTACCTCAAGTATATCTTTTCCCATAGGAACTGACCTGGACTCTGTGATCATCATCTGAGGCCCTTCTTCATGTGCCTCCACCATGAGAGGTCTGGAGGGTGGCAACATGAGAACTGACTTTTTCTGCAGTGGCTTCTGAAATACTCTCCCTAGGGAGGCTCACCTGGTGCCTTCATTACATATCTTTAGGCGCCAAGCAAAAACATTCCTCTTCTCCTAGGCCTTTGGCTAATTAAACAATCTGTGACATTTTAAACTCTGTATGGGGGTATTGTTTTTGTTCGTTATTATGATATGTATTTTTGTGTTTCTATATTGTAAACCATTCTTTGGATGAAGGGCAGTATAGAAATCTAATTAATTAATTAATTAATTAATTAATTAAATCAATTAATTAATTAATCCAGAATAATGTCTGTTGAAGTTCCTCCTCTGCCCCATGAAATCAGAAAATCTGACCATTTCTAAAATCAATGCAACAGCTGTGCAATTTTCCCCAGGTGTAGCTACCCCATTGTCATTGCACAACTGTTTAGAAGGTTGTTAGTACAGTACAGCCTATATAGATTACAGTAGCCATTTCTTTTTCTATGGCTCATCTCACCTATTTGGGTATCACTTAACCTTCCACTTTTCAAATAGCATTGTCTTTATATCACTTATTTTCTCCCCTCCCCGGGAGAAGAATCATAACTGGGAGCGCAACAAGAGGGAAAGTTTTTAATCCTTTCGCCACACACAGTAGTCCCAATAAAAATGTCCCCAACTCTATCATTTGTGGTGAGGGAAAGGGGGCTGCCCACCAGACTACAGAAGGTTATTTGGATTCCTGCAGTCTATAGAAGCAGAGTTGCTATTCTACTTGCGTCTTGAAAGAGAACAGGAATGATTGGGTGCTGCTAAATCATTGGTGTCTAAAAGCACCTGAAATAAAATGGAGTGATTAAGATTTGAGTGAGCATACAGAGAAGAATCCAGTGGTGTCAATGTAGAAAATGATGCTATATAGCCTGAGAGGAACCTCAGCTCAGAGCTGAAAGATATGTTTGATTAAAACAGTTTTTACAGAAACAAAGAGCTACAATCTGAGGGCAATGTGATGAAAAACAAAGTCTACTACCCTGCAGCTGTAGTGTGTGAGAAATCCATGCAAAATTTAATTTCAGTCTTCAAACACAGGCAATAAAATCAATTTGTTCAGAATCAAAAGTTCCTCAAAAAGGGATGTTTGGTGATTATTCTTTGCTTCCTTGGAGGACACACATGAGCGTGTGTGCTGCATGTCAATCTTAGCATGAATTTCCCCACTATCTAAGGCTAACTTTACACATTATTTGAGCTAAGTAATGAGTACAGAGTGACAAGTATTTAATAATGTACCAGGAAACTGGCCTGGCCTAAGACATTTTGGCACTTGAGGGAAACCACAAAATGGCTTCCCATGTACTCCCCCTGCCAGGAACAAGCTGGGGAGTGAAGATCTACATGCAATGCATTCCTTGGAGGCCGGATTTGCTGCCCCTGTGGATGCTGCTGCCCAAAGCAGTCACCTCACCTTGCCACATGAGAGGGCCGGCCCTGCCAGGAAACGTTGATAGCTTTGCTCTGAAATCAGAAATGGTATTCTGAGCACAGCAGTGTCATTATAATATCTAGGATACTTTGGGGCAAGGCTGGATCTGTACCAACAGCTGTTCTAATCACCTGTTGCTGATAGCCATACAAGGAAGTCCCCCAATTTCCACATTACATCCTATAACTGACACTGCTGGCATTGCCCATCCTGGTCCAATTTCTTTGCAGAAGAGCTCATATGCACTTTAACTAGACAACCTGAATTTCCCAGTGCTGTTGAATCCCACCCAGAAGATAGTTACAGTCCTGAACTACCCCTTCTGGATGATGTTCAAAGCTTAAATGTGACAGTATCCCATAATTTAATTCTATAATAACATAAGGAACTGATCGGAATATGGCTCTAGCTGGAATGCCAGTATGGGCTCAGGGGCCACATGTGCGGCCCCAGTCTCGGACATCCCTGCCCCTGCCCATCTCCAGTTGTGTGTTCGACTAAGCATGCTTAGAAGCCTCCCTGTGTTGATGAATCCTTTGTTATCAGGGTTCCACATCCAAACTAGGCTTCAAAGCACGTTTACCAAATTGTGCTTTTCCAGCTCCTACCATTCAACATTGGTGGAATGAACATTGCTGCACATGAAAAGAGGATGAGGGCCAGTGCCCCTCCCCTCCTCCAGCTCAACTTGGCAGTTTGTGTTGGTGTGACGCATCAAGGAACTGACCCATTTTTATTTTGTTTTTTGGCAAAAACTTAGTGCTGTTTCTATAGACACATTTTTTTACCAGGCGTTTTAACCTAGCAGCAATAGAAGCCAGTCACCACAGTTTAATCATGCTCAATAACAAGCCGTCAGCAGTTAGCAGAATGATTATTACTTCTGTGTGGCCTTTGGCAACAGCATATAATCACTCATCTCACAGGAAGCTGAGGGGAAATCAGAGAAGAAAGGGAGCAAGGGGGGAAAAACCCCACCGCAGAGGAGAGAGAGGGAAGAGTCCTTGCAGGCCTCAGCTTATAAAGGTTTGATTAACCATCTTTTGGAGCTGAGCGTAACCTTATCTGAGGAGAACTTTTGGCTCAAAAGGCCAGATGGGCATTCATCACAATGGACACCTCTTGCCACACTCTTTTCCACCCCACCACCATTGCTCTGGGACAGGACTACTTCATGATGCAGAACAATGGTCACCAACCTTTTCTTGCCTCTGGGCGCACTTGCAAACCAGAGAAACTGTTGTGGGCACCACAAATACTCACCACAACCAACCATATATCACAGCCAAGGGTATTAGCTTCAACAGAACATGTCTTTCAAGACTATAAGACTATTTTTTGGGGGGGCGATGGTGAGAAAGCCTTGGTGGGTATATGTGCGTGGGCACTTTGCTGACAAACCCCTGGATTTGTGGCATCATACACAAGGGCACATTCTGAGGAAATGGTGGTTGCTCACTGCCAGCTGCCATTCCCTCTCAACTCCCCTATGTATAATGGTACATCATGTGAAGTGAGCCTCCTTAGTAGCAGTGCTGACTTCGTTCTTGTATCCTCTTCTATCAGTGTAGCAACTGTGATCAGTGCAGATTCAGTTTGCGCTTTCACTATATGCCACATGGCTGCAGCTGCTGCTGTAATATGATCTAAGGTTATTTTCACTTAGACAGGAGGCACCCTCGTAATAGCGCATCTAATTATTTACTTTCCCTAATGCTTGTTTTCAAAAGTCATTTGAAGAAGCGAGGGATTGTGATTTGTTCTCTAAACAGGGCCAGCTCAAGACATTGAGGGGAGGATCAGATGAGCAAATTGTGCCCAAAGAGAAATAATTAATATTATTAATACTACATACAGAACTTGTATTTATTTAAATTTGTTTATTTATTTTTCAAATGATGAAATACTCTTGGTGCAATAGTGGATTTCAAGACAGCAAACAAAGCCATTTACAATTACAAGGACATTACGAAGCAAACAAATGAGTTGTACAATAAATGGAAGAGGAATATAATCATTCCATCAGCAACACATACCTACATCTAGAATGCTGGGTTAGTACAAAGATTATAACCTGGAGCCAAAAAGAATGCATGACGTATGGAGGTATAGATTATTTTTTTTAGATATTTTGGCCCCAAATCATTTAGGGAGCAATCCTACAGGAAGATAAGCCAGGATAAACAGGGTTAGAATCCATTAGATCTTTGGCTCTGCCAGGAGGTTCCCGGTGCAGCTGGACTACACCAGTGTAAGTAACTCTGGTTTCTTTTAAGATTGTATAAATCTTTTGCCTTTTACTAACTCCCCATCCTCAGCTCAGCAACATATCTCCAGCTGAGCGGAGCCTGGAAGATCTTAAGCTGGTGTAAGACCTGAAAAGAGCCCTTCTGGGGTCATGGCGGGGGCAAGATGAGGAAAAGGGGGACAAAGCCTGGACCCTAAGCCCATTCAGTTCTTTCATGTCACCTGGGAACTCAGTGCAAGTTTAGCTGGAAAAAAGGATGGCAAACACTATTTGAAAGGCTTGTTTTCCCTCTGCCAAGCTCAGGCTGGTTCTAGACTGGTGTTTGAGCGTGGTGTGTTTTACTCCAGCTTAGCTTAGCATTACACCAGTTTCTAGTGTACATAATTGTCCTGTCGGGGAATTAAAGGTGAGCCCCAGCACCCTGAATTGAGTTCAGCAGCAAACAGGGCGTCAATGTAGTTCCTTTAGAATGAGAGTTACATGGCTCTGGCAGCTGAACACTCTTACGGCTGGCAATTTTCAAATGCAAAAAAAGTCCATCTGCAAAGACTTTCTGAAATGTCAGAAGGTAATGCTCATTAACCAAGAAGGGCTGTTGTTTTTTTAACCACATTGACTGTGATAAAATCACAAGGAGCACGTAAGGACTTGGACAAGGGCTTCTGCTTCTCTCCTCACCTCACCTTTGCTCAAAATATCATGCACTGCACAGGTTCTTCAGAAGTCCCTCTAAATTTCCAGGAGTTTGCCAGGGACTGCATGAAAACTGCACCTAGGAGGAAATTTGGAAATGTACTATTTTTGCCTCCCTGGCACAAGGCCATTAGAATTTAGGCCTGTGGGAGCTGCAATTTTTTATTTTTTTGTATTATGAGTCAGTGTGGTGCAGTGATTAGAGTGGTGGACTTGAACTGCACAGGAATGGCTTGTTTGGTAGGGCGGTGAGCAGCCATAGCTTCCCAGAAGCGGGGTCACTGCTACTCACCAGGAGAGGGAGGAACAGGATGAGATGACAGCAAGGTTGGGGCCAGGCAGACATACCAGCAGAACCATCCTGGTGCATGCACAAATGTGTCTATACAGCCCCAGACTCAACACCACCTCACTCCTCTTCCTGGTAAGCATCAGTTCCTGGTGAGCCACTCCTGGGACTAGAGGCCATGTTTTAAATCCCCACTCAGCTGTAAGGTCAAGCCATATCATGCTGAAGTGTAAACAATTACCTGTTCTTGCGGGGGGGGGGATTTAGGTGGAGGAGGGCAATTGGTCTGTCCTCATGATCCAGAATGACTTCAAATGTCATTTTGCAATTCTGTATTATCACATCTTTTTGTAAGTACCTCTGTCATCCCACCCCCCTGCCCCCCTACCAACTCCTCAGGCAAGTTGAAGGAGAGGGATAAAGTTCAAGTAGCAACACTGATTTGGCAAGTGTTGGACTAATATAACTACAGCAGAATTCTGGAGTCTCACGGGATATTAACTCAAACATCTTTAAATGTAAGAATATAGAAGAGTCTGGGAGGCAGAAATAAGGCTGCTTTTTGGTTCATTTTCTTCAATAGCAGCTGCAATAACTCTTTCGGCTGCCACGCACAAACTACTTACTGTGGATCAGTTGCGTTCCTCCTAATGGGACTACTCTGGAAGACAGATGCATCATGGATTCATAGCAGCCTTCACAGACCATCGTTGCAGGGTCTCCAGATTAGACTCCACTTACTGGTTTCCTTATAAAGCACCAGTTCACACATTTAGCAGATTCTGTTGCAGTTGCACATTTGAATACACCCCCCTTAAAAAAAAGAGGCTTCCTGCACGTAGAAAAGCATCAGTGTTCAACCTAGCCATATTCCTGTCATGTTAGTTTTCCAGGCACACATGACGTTGTTGTTGTTGGGCACTAAGAGACACGCACACATTTCCCAGGCTTTTAGAAGTGGCGCAGTCCTGGACAAGCAACAACAGCGAACTTTCCCACTTGATCCTGTTTGAAGTAAAGGCTTGCCCTGGATTCTGCATCCTCCCCAACGCGAACATAAATGAGAATGATCAGCTTTCGCCTAAGGAGCATTATGTGCTAAATCGGAACTAATTGTCCAATCAAGTTCTGTTTCTTTATTCAAAAACCAATAACACCGACACCTAGAAGTCCTGAATGAAAAGCGACATGGAAAGTCGTTTAGGTCGCCATAGCACTTGGAGAGCTTGTCTTTTTAGACATTAACCGCGAGAGACCCACTCGGATTCACAGAAAACCCACTTTGTTGTGACCATCTGAATCTATCTGAACCGCCCCCCCCATCACCATCACCTTCCCTTTCATGGATTTTCACCCGAGACGATAAACCTGTGGCTCGTCATCGGACTGCAATCCCTTCGGCACTTACCTGAGCGCAAACCCCGCTGAACTCAATGGTCTTACTTCTGAGTAGACACACTTGCGGGGCCGCGGGGCCGAAGTGCGCCTCTCTCTTCCTTTTTTCACACTCCGGTTCAGTTACGAAGAGGGAGGCGCCTCCCGGGGCTGACGCCTGCCCCACAGCGACGCCATTCATGGCATAGCTGCGGTGCTCTCTGCACATGTTCAGAGGCGCTCGTTTCCTCGTCGGGATGCCTCCCTCGCGCGGCTACCCGCCGGCGTTCCGAAGAGATTCCGAGCGAAGCCCCGCCCCGCCGGGCAGGAGTGGGCGGGGCTCCTGGTGCCCTCCCCCCTCCCTCCCCCGCTGCCTTTTTTCCTTCCCCTCGGCGTCCTCTGCCCGCTCCCGCTCAGTGGCCGGGCGAGCTTCGGCAGGTGAGCATCCGGCGCCTCCCTCGTCCCGGAGATGGAAGAGGCGCTGCAAACTTCGGGCGCCAGAGACGGAGCGTCGGACTGAGGCGGGGAGAGGAGTCAAGCCCCGGCGAGGGGGGCGAGAAGGGAAGCAAAGGCACGGGAGATCGGTAAGACAAAGCCCCACAAAAGAATCTGGTCTATCTAGGGAGGCGGAAAAGAACAGCCCCCCTTGGGTACTTGGAGGAGGGCAACTCCTGGCGTCCCTCCTCCATCCAGGCGAGGCACCCAGGCGAGGCTGGAGTGCCTGGAAAACTTGGACACTTCTGCCCCCTCTCCTCCACTCCTGCTTTCTAAGTAAAGGTCCTGGCGCTGCCCAGGGAGGCGAAAGGAGAGCCTCGCTCGTGCTTTGGCGACTCGATCTCCACGGGGAGAAAAGGGTCATCTGGTCACTGGCAATTCTCTTCTCTGGTCCTCCTCTGTTTCGAATTAATAAGCGAGCCCTTGAGCATTGCTGCGCACGGGGACTCAGAGTGACAGGACATAAACTGACGCGGGAAGATGCGTGTGTGTTTGGTCCGTGGTAGCAGCCTCTGAATGTCACAATGGGGATGGGGGTGATGGTAATTAGACACTAAGAACCTCAGGTTGCCGGCCACAAGCTACAGACTCCGCAGTCACCCTATGGAAATTTGTTGAACTCCGGCCGGAATAATTGAATTATGAACTGCAGCAACAAAGCATTCAGGAGTCGTCTGTATTTAAGTGTTTGGCAATCACATTGCTACACATCTCTCTGCTTTTCTTGTTGTGCTTTGTTGCGTTCAACTTCTTCTCTACCCTGCTCCACCCCGTGTACATCCCATAGGAGGATGATATCAATTAATAACGTACCAGCCAGCTCTGCAAGAATGCTGGGTGGATTTTTAAACAGCTATTGTCATTATTATTGAAGGCTGGGGAAGGAAGTGTTAAGTGCATCAAACTTACTTCAACCCAGGATAATGTCAGCTAGCAGTAATGCTTTTTTAAAAGCAGGCCATATGGCATAAATAACGGATCAGATTGTTTGGAGCATCGAAATTGTAGCCTTTCCTTCTTTAACTCCTGCCTTTCTCAACAGCTCTGTATTTCTTTCAAACCAGCAGCTTCTCTTCACTGGAAGAAAGTTAGTAACACATTGCAAACTTTTACATTAGAAGGTCACTTTAAGTTTCTGTTGGGTGAAAGCAGATCCCATGGAAATCATCAGGATTCTCTTCTGAGCAAATATGTTTATAGATGAGTTTGTAGATATGTTTATAGATGAGTTTACTTGTAAAGATGGTTTGCTAGAGTGCATTTGAGATGTGGAATGGACACATTGACCTGGTGTGCATGTCACATTAAACTGTTGGATTTTTAAATAGGAAGTTTCATTGGATTTCAGTAAATACAAAATTAAATCTCTTCCCAACAGTAACAAATTACCCCTCCTTGCTCAAGTAGGACAAAACGGTTTCAACAGTGGAGTTCATTGTTCCTTAACCAATCATGTGCACGTGGTGGATGCCAGATTGTATTATTTTCATCTGAGAAAGTTGCAAATGGATGCCATATTTCAATATAGTCATTAACATCCTGAGAGCCTTTACCCATTTAATCAGCTTTCCATCAAAGCAACCATCCATATTTTCTGTCTTCTAATACAAGCTGCAGGTGTTCTCCCAAGTTCTTCCAGTTCTGTGTTAATCAATTCATTATTGTGAAGTAAAATGTTGAGGGGATAAAAAAAAAAAAAGGCAGAACAAAAAGTACCAGAGATAATGGACACCCTTGTTTGGTCCCTCAAAATAAAGAACATGGGACTGAGTCCCTGTTATTAACCTGGACTACAGATTCTGTGAGCCTATAAAATTGTTAAGAGGCCCCTCTTACCCTCTCACTGAAGGATGCCCTGGTCATTCATATTGTTACGAGTTTGTAAATTCCTGGGTCTGATAAAAGTGAGAACTAATCAAGCTTTGGGGAGTTAAACTGTACCAAACAGCTTATGTTAGAAATACAAGCCAGGCCAACCTCAGCTTGCTGAGTGGGAGGAGTTAGGGGTATAAAGCTTAATGATGGCCAAGTCAAAAAGAGGCAGGGTGATTAACAAAGTAGTTACTCTGTGCCAAAAGGCAGAGGGATGTGAGCCCCTCCTTCATCTAGAGAGGTAACTAGCAAAAGGCAAGAGGCCAGAAGTTTTAGGATGGCACTTGGCAGTGAAGTACTAGCAAGAAACTGTGGCAGGCTGTGAAACAGACGGAGAGCATGGCTGATTTCTCTGTTGGATCCAAGTTCACTTTGTCTATGGGAGAAGCAAGAGACCCCCATGGAGTGTAATGCTGGGAACCCCTCCACAGTAGGCTCAGGTGCTCTTAACCATATATCATAAACACGCCACAGTCTCTGCTTTGCCTCCTTTACAAAAGGAAACACAAACCCTGAGAAAGTGCTTGGATTCCTGCTTGGAGATTGGGAAGACATGTAACAATATTAAACCATAGGTTATGCTAACCGTGGTTTAATGTAGGGGTGGCCAATGTAGTGTCCTGCAATTGTTGTTGGACTCCAACTCCCATCGGCCCCAGTCAGCTTTGTTAGTGGTCAGGGATCATGGGAGCAGACATATGAAGCAACATTTGAAGGGCATCACTTCCCTGTTTAATGTGATGTGTGAACCAGGCCATTGCAGAATGAGTCCAGCAGGAGTTCTAAAATCCGCAGAGCAGTGCTGGAATATGGATTATGAGAAGCATGATTGCAAGATGTTTTTGTGCACTCATTCGAGTAAAAAAAACAGCATTAGCGAAAACAAGCGTGCTTCAGAATAGGTGAAAGAAAGAGACAGAGAGAAATAATGAGGATTTTATATACAATACAGTAGGATTCTTAGTAACAGCCCCATCAAACACCCTCGATCTTTCCAATTTTCGGCATTTGTTAACCAAATGCAATTTCTCCTCTGCTTGTGTTGTTGGATTCTTGAAGTATCTTTATTTTTTCCTCCCCTCTGGTGCTGCTACCAAAAAAATTCTTCCTTGGATGAAGCAAACTCAGCAGAGCACTTTAACAAGGATATAAAGAAAAGATGGTGTCACGAGAATAAAAAACATTATCTGATCATTTTCTAGCCAAAAGGAGGATGAAAAGCTTGATGAAAAGAGAGAGATGGAAGAAGAGGTTTTGTAGAAAAATGAAGCAGCCTTTCAATACAGTTTTTTTAAAATACTGTAATTTTTTGTCAAAGAAATTTTAACATGCTTTTTTTCTTAATTGGGAGTAAATGCAGGGTTCTTTGAATTGTATGTTATGCATCTTAGCTGCATGCTACATGCATAATTAGCAGACTTTGTAATTGTTTGCTTATTTACAGTGCAGCCCTGTATATGTCTGTTGAAGGGTAAGCCCCATTGAGTTTACTGGGACTTATTCTTACCTAGGTAGGTTGGGTGATTTGCAATGAACCTGCAAGGATTCATGATTCCTAGCTGTTTAGCAATGGCAACAACAAAATCACTTTTTCCACTTAAGTGGGGCTGCTGAAATGAAGAAACCTAACCAGGGTTTATCTTTTGTGTGAAAGGACTGCAACCTCAGTTCATTTCTGGAAGTGAAAACAAATACCAAGGTTCAGAAGCACCCTGTCATTGAATTCTCACTGGCCCACTTCACACATAATGTTAGGTCAAGCCATATCTAAGTGTGAATGAGTGACCCACAGCAACTCATAGTGGCCCAGGCAAACCACAAGCTCAGATTCAGATGAGCTTTGGCTGTGGCTACCTGAATACTCACTCGTTCATGGATAGCCATGGTTTGGCTTCATGTTATCTGCAAACTAGGACAATATTGTATCTTTTACACTTGGAGCTTGTTGGCAGATCTTGGGTTGTAGGCGAGGGAAGTAGACGCAACAAGTTTAAAGTCTGCTCCATTATGTAGTTCAGTACACTGTCTTCTGCTTTGGGACCAACTTCTGAGTAAACATGGCTAGGATCAGGTTTCAGTGGTTTTCCCCACCCTTTCCATAAGGGACACTAAAACAACCTTTTAGCAATGGCTTCATTCCTTGTGTGCAAATGTGATTTCTGGTCACCCAGTTTCCTACCTTACTTGTGCAGGAAGATAGTTTTGCATCTGCATTTCAACCATGATATACTTTTGTTTCACCTGTCCACAGGTGTGATTGACTTAAAGTATATTATTACTAGTCCTGTGACCGCCACCATCCGTACCACAGAGATGTAACCTTTACAGCTTGAGAAGCCTCAGCAAAGGTAATGCAGATCAGATGGGGAGGCGGTGATGTTTGCAAGAGAATGAGCAATTTCCCAGCCACAAGCTTCTAAGGGGACATCCATGGCCTACCTTTCCCAGTCTGGCTCTTGTGTCTTAAACTGAAGTGTGGGAAGAGGGATGAAACTGGGAGCTTCCCCCCTGCCCCCCTTTTGACAGTCAATAAGCATGACTCTTTCCATGTTTATTACCTGTTACAGGGCATTCCTGTAACAGGTGGTGTGGATGGGCAAGGAGATGAACCAGAGGGGGCTGAAGTTGTGGCCAGATATGGACAGTGGGGGTTGGACACATGGTAGATGCTGATCTTCTTTAAAGTTGCTGCATAGATGTACTCCAAGGCAGAGGTGGCCAGCTTCAGGATTCTTAGGGCCCCTTCTGTTCTCCATATAGTTTTTGAGTTAAGGGAGAAAGGGGCTCTTTCTATAACCTGCCCCCTTCACAGGTGATCAGGTTTCATAACAAGTTCAGTGTCATCCAGCAACAATAGCTTTACAGGGTCAAAGTGAACAACACACAGGAGGCACACAAATCAAGCCTTCCTCTGATCATTTTAAAAATGAAAACCCTTGTCTGGGCTGTAATTTGGAGCAGGGGAGAGGGGAGGGACTGCTTAACTATTTCCTTCCTTGCCATTTGCCTGCTCACCCAGCCCGCAAACTGCCCCCCCTTTTCTCCCTTTGCAAGGGAAAACTTTTGAGAACCCATACATTTCCCCAGGCATTTTGGAAAACACCAGGGTAGTGGAAAAAACAGCAAGAAGGGAAAGGTTCATAAAGTCCTCTAGATATGATTTTCAGTAACTGGAATGCATAGGGCTTTTATATTTTTAAGATGAAATGCAGAGGCAGACTTGCTGATTAGGGGTGGGGAGAACCAGCTTCCCAGCAGGTGCATTGCTGTTACTTTCTCAGAATGAGAGGGTGGGAAGGTCAGCACAGTGCAAACACACTGATGCAGCCAATCTGGTGTTCCTGCTGATGCATTTGCACCATGCCAAGCTTCCACTGCATCACCTCTCCGGCAAACCAACAGCTGGAAAGCTAGTGTAGCGGCTTTGTCCCACTGATGAGCCGCTTCTGGTGAAATGCAAATTGCTTTTTTGTTGTTTTGTTCCTTAAATGAATGAATAAGTAAAAGAAGTCCATGGTGTGGCTATTCCTCTCCTGCAACCTGCAGCCTCTTGAGCAAGGTTGGGGAATCTGTGCTCTCCAGATGTTGGCGGGCTCCCAAATCCAACCCAGGGGTGATGGGAGTTGTAGTCCAGGAATGCCTGGAGGATCACAGTTCCCCTGTTCCTTGAGTTTGTTTTTGGTTTTAAAAAACAAAGAAAATGGAGAAAAGAAGCGCATAGCTGCATATAGTATTTACTGCTTCACAGTTATAAAACGTGGCCACTTGGGTATTGTCTGTGCCTTACATATAAAACAAACCTTAAAATAAATGAATTCCTCTGACACACAAGTTTTTAAACACCTTATCTCTTTGAATGAGGAAAGCTGAAGGCAACCTTTTTTACTTCATTAACATTTGGCGTGACCTTGGCAGCAGATGAAATTGCTTTGTAGGCTGTCCCTGGTTAAAGGCATAGAGTAGGATAATCAATGCATTATTAAGGATGTGTAGGAAATGAATGGTCACAAATTCCTTTGGCGACTTGGGAGTTCACCCCCATCCCTAGAAAAACCTGCAGTTGTGCTTTGCAGTGCAGCAATCTTAAGTTGCACCACCATTTTTTTTGCAAGCCATAATACATTTGCTCCCCACGTATTGTAAACATAAGGAGCAGGGCACATAAGTTAACAGAATGTAGCCTACAAATGCATTGCTATTGGGAAAGGCAATATAGAATTTCAATAGGTCTAGAATGGTTCATTAACTTCTAATTGACTCAGGCTAGGGCTTGCCTTCATACAGAGGAGCAGCTGGGGAAATAATGCCTGAGGCATGTTCATCTGACACAAAGAGTAGGTTCAGGTAACAATAGTACCAACCATGGTGGTTGCCTTTTCACTCTGCAGGGCTGTGTCCATCTGATAAAGCCACTGGCTTTAGCGACAGGAAACATGGCAAATGTGCGGCTTGCATATTTGCTGCCTTGTGGAAATATGAGGATGACAAGACTGTTAGCTTGCCAACTTATTATTAGTGTCACCATGCTCTGTTGCTTCGTTTCAGGTCTTCTCTCGTCCACATGCAGTTTGCAGGTGTTGATAGCAGCTGCCACCAGCCGTGCCTTGAAACAGAGGATTACCAACCCTGCGGCAGAGTAGAGTGCAGGTGGGCAACGTGTGGTTTGGGAACTAATGAGGCCCATAGCCCACTTTCATACAGCCTGCGGCCTAATTTCATGTGGGTGGCAATGACGGAGGAAATGGAGGGAAAGATAATGGCAGAGAGAGAGAGAGAGAGAATGAAAGGGCTGTTAGAAAACAAGAGGGAGGAGGGGCTGTCCTGTCACACATCCTTGGTTCAGATTCTCCCCACTTTTGTTTCTGGCTCTGCTCTCTGCTGGTGTGCAGCGTCCAACAGATTACGTCCCAAGGGAATGCAGAAAAAGGGTCATCCCACTTCTGTGGGCACTGCTGTAGGAAGGGGTGTGTGTGGGGGGGGACTGCCCCGGGTGTCATCACTGAGGGGGGTGGGTGTGTGGTGTGGTGGCTTGGGCAGGCGCCTGAAGGCTCTGCGCTGCCTGAAACAGCAGCGTGGGATTTGCGTCTGCCCTCCGCGTCTCCCTTCGCCGCCCTACAGCTGAGGGGGAGGTGTCAGAAAGGCTTCATGCAGCACACCCCATCCCCGGCTGCAGGACGCACGAGTCGCACCAGGCACCCGAGCGGCTAGTTATGCCGCTGCCTGTGGGAAAGGATTCCAACTTTCTGTTACGTACCTTTGATTACAAAGAAGTGTCCTCTATAGTTCAGTTCAGCAGCTACAAGGTAAATTCAGTTTACTGAATGGGGATATACACTTTCCTACATTTCTTGGTAGAATATATATTTTTAATTGGTACTTATCAAAAGCTACGCAAAAGGTCTTACCCAGTACAAAGTATCTTTCTATTGTACAACGGAGTAAAAGAAATACTTTAAAAATCTAATCTAAAAATGAACAGGAACAAAAGGAAGAAAAAAAGTGGTGGGTGGAGAAAGAAAGAAAGAAAGAAAGAAAGAGGTAAAAAGAGAGAGAGAAAGAAAAGAACATGGAAAGATAAAAAGGTTCTCTGTCCATTACATATAGTAATTCACTCATTAACATCCAACTATTCTAATTTCTATGAGCCAATCTTTTTTTCAATCTTCTAATCCAGATATTACAAGTTCGTTTTCTCATTCAAGCAGAAAAGCCCGCAAGAAGTTTCCAATCCTTAATAAATGTCAGTAATGTTTTTTCTCTAATTAAACACATTAATTTTGCCATCTCTGCTAAGTCCAGTAATTTTATCAACCATTCCTTCATAGTAGGTAGGGCTGTATCTTTTCCATACTTGGCTATATTTCTGAATGGTTGTGGGAGCCTCGTAAATCGCTCCAGGTAATTAATCACATTTCAAACTGGCTTCCTTGTGGTTAGTGCTCCCCTGTTTCCACCCTGTGGGTGCTTCCACACAAAGTGCCAAGGCACTGTTTTTCCTCAGTTTGCAGAAAGTGATACTGAATGCCACACCAAGTTATTCAGTGGTACCCTTCCCCCCTGGCCAAGATCCTTATGTGATGTCTATTCACAAGTAAGTTCCATACCCAAAACTCATGGAAATACTCTTAGCAAGTTCAGTCTGTTTTCTTGCTTTTTGCTGGTCTGTGCTCTGGGGATCAGTGGTGAATAGTTTCTGATCTGCCCCTTGAATGGCTTCTTTATGCAAAACAGCCTGAATGCCCTTTACAGTTTTTGCATATGGGGGTGAGTATATCACTTTAAAAAAAATCATTATTTTGCCACATATGAAAATTATACTACAGTGGTACCTTGGGTTACATACGCTTCAGGTTACATACGCTTCAGGTTACACACTCCGCTAACCTAGAAATAGTGCTTCAGGTTAAGAACTTTGCTTCAGGATGAGAACAGAAATCGTGCTCTGGCGGCGCAGCAGCAGCGGGAGGCCCCATTAGCTAAAGTGGTGCTTCAGGTTAAGAACAGTTTCAGGTTAAGTACGGACCTCCGGAATGAATTAAATACTTAACCCGAGGTACCACTGTATTAATAATCGTAAATCTCTCTCACACACCCAGCAAGAACAGAAAGTGACATTGGGGTAATTGTAGAGATGTTATTCAAGGGGCAAAATGGATCCTATTCATTCTGCCTCCTCCAGCACAGATTAAGAAGAACCAATATGATGGGCTGAGCTTTCTAAGAGGAAGCATTTAATTTAAATGCATAGGTACCCTGAAAACCTTAATAGGGTTTAACTGGTTGAAGCTGCCCACAAAAATTGCCATTGATTAGACACGCAGGAAAAAAATGGGGAAAAGACAAAGGATTTTCCAGAAAACACTAGAAAGCAACAGGCTAATAAGGGCATCATATGGATTCTGTGGAAGTATCTTAGGTTGCTCAACACAAAACTATATGATAAATTGGTAACCAAAAAATACCTTTTATATTCTGGAATAATTAAAAAATGCCCTTGTCAGTGGTGACAACCTGGGTTTAGGAATTCTATCCCCACAGTTCAGGATGTGTTCTCATGTAATGAGGAAGACTTATAACATCTTGTTCACATAAACAGGGGTGTTAAAGCAGATGGTCCATGCAATCCTATAATATACCTACATGGAAGGAAGTCCCATTGAATTCAGTGGGATTTACTCCCAGATAAGTCAGTAAGATTGCAGGCTCAAAGAGTCTAGCTTTACACACTTGCTCATTTTCATGTCTCTCTTGAGCTTATTATCTCAAGTTGATAATAAACTGAAGAGTTTTGACATCTTTAGCATTGGTTAGCAATACTCGTTCACTCTTTATTGCTCTGCTTATATATAAACGAAAGGCAGAAGTTTTTCCCCCTTTCTTTGATCGTACTTTGAAAGGTTCTGCAGCAGAGAAGAGGGGAATGTTTTCTTCTCCTCGAAATATCACTCCAAATGCAGTCCACTGCCAAAGAAACATTACCTCAGGTTATTTTTAATGTGTTTTAAAAAATTTAATTTCAAAGTCAACGTTGTATAGAAAAACTCCTCGGTATTAAACATGCTTTCTGTTCCCTTATTGTTTATGCAGGGTACAGCTTGTACTCCTGAAAGCTAGCCGCTTTGCTACACTGACCTTTTAAAGGGACAGGGGGGAACTTCATGTTTCAGTTCTGTTTAGATGGTTGTAGATGTGCCTGTTTTTTCAGCCACTCTGTCACTCTTTTCTAGAGTTTAAAAGAAAATGTGTGGTGTCTATGACATGTAGCTTCTAAAATTCTCCTGATACTTTCAAATCATCAGTATCATGAGCAGCATGCTGAGAGTCACAAAAATGAACTAAATTTCTAGCAGTAGCAGCTGGGAAGTGCTTCCTACGTATATTTCCTGGGCATGAAGAGTACTATGTGTGTACATATGTCTTTATTTATTTCAATAATAGCCCACCTTTCCTCCAAGGAGCTCAAGACGACAAATGTGGTTCTCTCTCCACCTTCATTTTATCCTCACAAGAACCTTGTGAAGTAGGCTAAGCTGAGAGACTGTGGCTGCCCCAAGGCCACTTGGCCAGCTTCATTGTCATGTGGGGACCAGAATCCTGGTCTTGCTGGTTCTAGTCTGGCACTTTAACCACCGCAAAACACTGGCTCTGTTTGTGGGAAAATCACATGAGGTGACTGACTTTAGCTTTCTGCATCAGTTGATGGAGCCACTCAGCTGACCGCCTGTCACTGCTGCTTACCAAAAGGTGGAGGAAAGAGGTTGGCACAGTGGAAATGTACTGGCAAGAACACTGGATTGACACCACTGATGTGTTCGTACTGCGCTGACCTCACTGCTGTCACCTTCCCTCTCCTTCCAAGTAAACGGCAGCAATACGGGCAGCAGGTCAGGTGAGTGTCATTGCCCTGTTATGTATATATCTGGTTCATGAATCTGATTTTCAGTGAGTTGTGTAGCTGAGACCTATAATTTTATTTGTATGCTTTCATGAACGATCCATTAGAGTTCCCCTACAATGAATTTTGCCTTATGCAGTTCAAAATCCTTAGCTGTGAAGGGCAGAGAAGCAGTCCAGAGGTATTTAAAAGCATTGCCACATGCTTTCTGCTGAAGCTGAAATGATTCCACCCCCATCCTTGAAGTTCTTCTTTATTAATGTCATTGGTGAATATTCCCTGAAATTTCTTTGACTATGCAAATATTCTACATTCTGAAATAGGATTTGACATTTAATTTTCAGTAGGAGGTCAGGGTATATTTATAATGTCTGACATGTAGCATTCAACATTCGATAGGATCTGAGAGCTGACATACAGTACCAGCCAATGTTTGCCAATTAGAACTAACTGTACAACATCTTCCCAGTTATTGTGGATATTTCTGCCTGGCGTAACATTATCATCACATGTACAGGACAGCTTCTGCCAAAGCTGACACACGATTTGGGGGAGCAGCAAATGGTTTGTTTACATTTTAATTTGCATGCTAGAACAGTGGCTTATCATTGCCCGTTGAAAGGGTTGGCTGGCTTTCTGTTGTTTGTGATGTCTGGCTGTTGCTTAAAAGACCAGCCTAGAAGAAGAGGAATCTCAGCTCCCAGTACAGTGCTGTGATGGGAAGAAAAATGCAGCAGAGAACAGTTTCTCTCACCACCACAGCACTCAGCTTGTGAGAGAGGAACCTCTCCTCATAACATAACATTGTGATGGGAACACTCCACTGCTTCTCTGCAGATCAACAGGTCATAGTATCTGAAAGCTGTGTGCGACGAGAATGTGTGTATTATGTCTATATTAAAGATGAAGCAACTGAGTCTGAGATATATTTGCTTGCCTAGGACCCATAAGAATTCAGGGCTGAGGTGCAATTTGAAGCAGGGACCTCCTAGTTCAATTCATTTAACCAACACCCTACCTTGGGGTAAACCTCCTGACTTTGCCCTTTTTTAACATGTCCATCATCTTGGTATTCTTTGTAGGAGAAGAATACGGCTTGTGTGTTGAAATTTGTCACACCTACAGAGAACATGGGGCTGATGGGAGGATCCAAAATTATGGAGAACCGGACAAGACTAACTAAAACGGACCTCTACTCCAGGCTGAACTTGCCACCAGGCTTTGAGCATCCCTACGATGACCTGCTTGCTGACCCCAAGCGAGATCTGAAGGATAGCACCAATTTGGTGGAGGTGCAGATCGTCCTCATCTGTGCCTACTGCGTCATCATTTTGCTCGGGTTAGTGGGCAACTCCTTGGTGATTCACGTGGTGATCAAGTTCAAGAGCATGCGCACGGTGACCAACTTCTTCATTGCCAACTTGGCCGTGGCCGATCTGCTGGTGAACACGCTCTGCCTGCCGTTCACGTTAGTTTACACATTGCTGGGAGAATGGAAGCTGGGTCCTGTGCTGTGCCACCTTGTGCCATACGCCCAAGGCCTTGCTGTTCAGGTATCCATAGTGACGTTGACTGTGATAGCCTTGGACCGGCACCGCTGCATTGTGTATCACCTAGAGAGCAAAATCTCCAAGAGGATCAGCTTCTTGATCATTGGGGTGGCCTGGGCTGTCAGTGCCATCTTGGCCAGTCCTCTGGCTATCTTCCGGGAGTATTTCTCCATTGAGCTCAACCAGGACTTCAAGATAGTGGTCTGCGCTGAGGCCTGGCCCAGGGAAGGGCTGGTCAATTACAGCACCATCTACAGCGTCTTGATGTTCCTGATCCAATATGTCTTGCCTCTGGCCATCATCTCCTATGCCTATATCCGTATCTGGAGTAAGCTAAAGAACCACATCAGTCCCGGGGCGGCGGGGGACCATTACCACCAGAGGCGTCGGAAAACTACCAAGATGCTGGTGTGTGTCGTGGTGGTGTTTGGGGTCTGCTGGCTGCCCTTCCACATCTTTCAACTCGTCAGCGATATTGACAGCAACGTGTTGGATTTGCAGGAATACAAACTGATCTACACGCTCTTTCATGTCATTGCTATGTGCTCCACTTTTGCCAACCCGCTCCTCTATGGCTGGATGAACAGCAACTACAGAACAGCTTTCCTGACTGCTTTCCGGTGCGAACAGCGGCTGGATTCCATCCACCCAGAGGTATCGCCTGCACTGAAAGCCAAGAAGAAGCTGGAAGCCAAAGAGGAGCATTGCAATGGACCCCCGTTTTCGCAGCCTACAAGTGTCTAGGGGGTCAAACTAGATGTGGCAGTGGGCATACACATACACATACCCGTCGCGCTCTCTCTTTTTGCAGCTAACAGGTATGGTGGCGATATGGATTGGGACCAGGGGCAGAGGGGGAGAAAAGCCATTTAATCTTTCCCCTGTCCGATCTTCCTGATGGAAATGGCTCCTCCCAGCTGGCATTTGGAAAAGCAAAAGTGCAAGTAGCAGATGGTGGAGCAGGGGGTCATGAGTAGGAAAACAATGTAGGCAGAAAGGATTAAGCCCTTTCCCCTTGTGGCTCTGATCCAATCCTCACCCAATTTGCATTTGCACTGATTTTAAAGAGAGAGAAGTGCATTCACACATCTCTGTTGCATTTCTTGTTTGACCCTAAGAAAGCAGTGAAGCTGGACGAAGAATGTGAGTGAGTGCAAGGGGAAATAGTTTGATGCTGATGTATTGTTGGGTGTGCTCAGATGTGCTGCTGATTCATAGAAAGCTTATGAACTGGGTGCAATTTGAGAACGTTCCCTACATTTTCAAGGCCATTTGTCATCAAGTATAACGTCAACTCCAAAGAACTATAAAAGACTAAGCTGGTGCTTGGTTGCGTACAGTGAATTCAGAAGCACAGCCAGCAGTAACACAGAAGAAAAGGGTTTGCCATTGTCAATGCACATTTTAAAAAGTGAGGAGACAAGACATTGGTATTTGGAGGCAGATGACAATAAACATTTGACTGCTTGGAACATTGCACAGTCCTTTGAGGCCACAGGATCAAACTACCCTCTAGTGGCAAAGCTGCAAATGGTTGTTGAAGTTGAAACTTGCTGCATCTTTCTTTTTGAAAGAAGTGGGTTTCCTAAAAGTCGTAGTGTACTATGGTTTCTCTCTCCCCCCCCCCCCCGATTTATGTGAAAGTTGTGTTTCCCTGTTGAAGTTAAAAACAAGGTCAGCAAAACATCTACCTTTTAGCCACTTGCAATGAAATTCTGGAAGGCAAACCACACTTGAAGTTTGTATAATGAAAGTGGTACCCAGCTTGGTATTGTGCAATCTGTTAGTGATGGATTGAGCACCTGCATGGCATCCTGTGAACCATATGTGCCAGCTTGGCCCTGCGACCATGGATGCCCGGGGCTGTGGGTGACATGCAGTGTGCATGGCCCTGGCACTGAAATTTGTGGGTGCCTGGCCCTTTCATGGGGAATTTTGTGGGTGCTTGGGCACCCAGGACCTCAGGGAGTTTGCACTTATGCTGTGAACTGTTTTTGTAGTCCTTTTTGGGAAGGAGAAGGTCGGGGGGGGGGGAAGAGTTTTAAATTAAAGTGGTCCAAACTTTTCTGCAATTGGTTCTGACAGTAGCGGACATAGTTTTCTTTGTTCCTTTACAATGATATTGTACTATTCATCTGCTTACCAATAGCACTATGCTTATTTCTTCTGCTAATTTGTTTTAGCAGAGACCAAAAACTTCCCCTCTCAATGATCTTAGCGCTCAGCTATTTTGCAGTCCTGTCTTGTACCCCCTCCCTCTGCCTTGTCAGACCAGTGTTGCCAAAAATTTAACAGGATTCACAGGGGTGCTGTGGTACCAATTCATGGTCTTTCAAACATTTCAGTTAAAAATCTGAGCCTGCTAATGGCAAGATTAGTAATGGGCGAGGAACTAAGAAGTCAAGCAAGTGTACTGGTGTGGATCCCTGTTTATTCTCAAGTCAAGTCTGGGTATTTTGGGTGCCTGCATGCCTTTATGTGAGGGAACTGCAAATGCTTGATCTTTCAGGTATCTTATAGCTTGATCCATACCTGAGTGATTGAAGGTAATCCTGTTTATTCTCAATGGTGTTAAATTGAGTCGGATCCTAGTATTCATTTTAAATGGATTGCAGATTGAGCTGCTGGCACCATTAACACATCATGTTTGAAACTCTTCCTGCTTTATTGCTAGATGCTAAAAAATGACAGTAGAAGCACTGCCCATCTTGCTCAATGGTAATGTGTGTTTTTTGTTTTGTTTCTGTTCTTGTGGTTTATGCTTTTATGTCACGCATCTTGCCTGGGATCTGTGCCCGTCATTGCACTCTGTGCAATTAAATACGTTCAAATAGAATGCAAGCTAGACATCCGTATGCTGCTGTGTATACCACCAAATGAAGTTTGCATGTGTGTTTGTTAAGAGTTCCATTCTGTTTGCTCAGGTATATGACTTGACTCTCCTGTAAATGCACAGCTATGAATGGCAATGCACACTTCTTCAGCATATATGGTTTGCCTTTTTTTAAAAAAAACACCCCCAAACCCTGGAATCATTAAAGTTATCAAAACAAAGGATCATTGCTGGCGTGTTTTCCTCATCCACTTTTCGGGCCAAACTAGATGTGGTGCATCATTGGAGCCATTTCTTTAAATGTGGGTAAGCCATGAAAAATGGAGGGTGCAGGGGGATGGAATTCAAGGAACAAATGCTACATGAGTCACAATGCTTGCTACATAGGAAGCTGCCTTATTACTGAGTCAATGGCTGCTAAGCTACGATTGTTCTGTTCTACCCTTGCTGACAGTAGCCCTCTGAATATCCATTGCTGGGAATCGCAAGTGGGGCAGTAGCTGTTGCACTCAAGTTCTGCTTAAGGGCTTCCTCCCATGGACACCTATACAAGCCCTGTGATAAAAGAGTGCTATAGATGGGCCTTTGGCCTGATCCAGCTGGGCTCTTAGACCAGGGGTCCATCTTGCATTGTATTGTCTGCACAGACTGGTGGCAGCTCTCCACAGTTTCAATTGGAGGATAAACCCAGGCATACCTGGAGATGCTGGGGATTGAACCTGAGACCTTCTGCATGCAAGGCAGATGCTCTACCATTGAGCTATGGCATATTCCTCCCTTGCTCACTGCTTGCTTCTATGGAGTTAGTTCCTTGACCTAGCTTTTGCTTCATCTGGCCTCCATTACCCCAAGTCAGCTTGGCTCAGAAAAAGGATCAAGACAGAAAAGAGGGGGCAAGCTCTGGTGCTCAATGAAGCGAAAAAGAAAAAAGGTGCTTCTACATGTTTTGAAGTTAACTCCTTCGAGAGCTATGGACAGAAACGAACAGCATTAGTAACACGATTCGTAAAAATAGATCGTAAGTAATACACATGTTATAGAACGTTTAACATGGTCCAAAAAAGTATTAAATGCATAACACAAAATCTAGCTCTCCTGGACTTTTTTTGAAGTCCATATCGGACTTCAAAAAAAATGAAAAAGAAGAAACAATGTTTGCCAGGTACCAAACTTAGACCTTAGCCATGAAATGTTAAAACCTCATTTTTTTCCTCTAAAGAGTGAATGGTAATTTATCTTAAATGTAAATACAATCTTGAGATGCTCACCACCAGCCCTAACATTTACCAAACATGCAGAAAAAATGTGCCTGAAATGAAGGTAAGTATGTGGCGGGCCAATATATGACCAGGGCAGACCTGCGTGTCATGAAACATCAGATTGCAGCTAGGGTTTGGCCCTGGAGGCGCCCTGAAATATCAGTCATGGGGGCTGAGCATGGAAGCAGCTAATCAATTGCTTCCTGTGCTTAAACATGGGAGATACCTGAGCCTATGGATACCATGCCCTGTAGGGTGTGTGTGTGTGTGTGTGTGTGTGTGTGTGTGTGTGTGTGTGTAAGTTGAGGCTTCTCAGATTGTGGTTTCTCAGTTTTGTTTGAACTCCAAGATCTACCAGCGGAAGCCAAGTGCAAAAGACATGTTGTTAGAATGAAAGAGCAGGGTGCCTCTGAGGACATTCTGAGCCTAGGCATTTGTTTTCAGTGCAAGAACTGGGCTGGTCTCACAAAGATTTCCCCTAAGAGTTCTCTCCTTGTTTCCTCTCTACATTTCAGCAGCCTAGTAGAGGCATGGAAATTTATTTTGCTGCTGATAATGTTAGAGTCAGAAGGCAGGAACATTGCTGAACAACCGCAAATCACCCAGAGATCAGTCAGTAGATGCTGATCTACTTTCTGATTATACGACAAGTAATCAGTTCCCTTTAATAACTATGCAGTGGGACAATTGTGCCTACATGCACTTCAAGCACAAGTTCAGCAAACACAAAAGTTCAACAACACCATTAAAAATAAGAACATATGGAAAACATTTAAAATAATTTAAAAGTATGTGCTGCAATCACATACTCGCTCCTAGATGACACAGAGCTGCGCTTGGCAGTCCTGTTACCTATAAATGTGTCTGCAGGTGGCATTCAGTTGGTGGGGTGGGGGGAGAGGAAGGAAAGAGTCATACAGCTTGAAAACCTCTGGGTCTTCCAAGATGCCTGAAGAGGCTCTTTCTGAAAGGCACCTCTCTGCAATAAGAAGCAAATGGAGAGAGGTCCAACCAAGCTAATTTTAGCTCCGAGGAGTTTTGTGCCGTAACTAAAGTTGTGCCCTGGGAATACTGTGGCAGCTTGAGTGGGCTGCTTCCACACTCATAGCATGCAGCTCCAACCCTTCAGGTTATTTCCAAGCCGGTGCCTTTTTCCCAGAGAGTACATATGCAAGAGTTCTCTGATGCGGAGCACCTGAAGCAACTCACATGTTATTATCTCTGGCAAATGCAAGGCATGTATAATGAATGCAGACATCAGTCAGAGCATGTGAACTGCTTCCTAAGCACCATAAATAGATGCAGAAAGGTCAGTTGCTCTTTTTCAGAGTGGGGAGCATGTGGCTTTCCAGATGTTGTTTGACTCCAATTCCCATCAGCCACAGCGAGCATGGCCAATGGGACCAGTTGATTTCCCCTCCCAAGTGGAAACTAACCAAGCCAGCTATCTACTATTGTTTCAGCGAAAATACCCAATCTCTCCACATTTCCCCACAGGGTACAGCTTCAGCTACCTGCAGCCGCACAGCACTCTGCCTTTGCTTCTGCTTAGGAACTGTTGAACAATCATGTTGTTGCCTCATCCATTTGGCTAATTGTTCTGTTTTAAAAATGAGCATTTGAAAACAGTGCCAAACAAATGAAGATCCTATTTAACTTTTGCAGGAATAGATAATGCCACAGGCAGTCCTGCTTATGTGTTTTTTGGGGCACGTTGATGAATAAATATTGTGATGACCCGAAGTCATGTGAAAGGCTTGGTAGAGAATGCATAGTTTCACAACACGTAAGAGGCACAAAGGCTTTATTTTCTTCCGATGTAGGAATAACAATGAGAAAGTTAAATCTAGTGTACAAATGATAGTGCATATTGTTTGTCAAGCTGTGGGAGAAAACTCCTTTTCATATTATATTTCTTGGCAAATGAAAAAAGGACAGGAACATAGGAAGCTGGCAAAAGACCATTGGCCCAGTTAGCTCAGTATTAACTACAATGATTGGCAGCAGCTGTCCAGATTTTCTTTCCTAGCCCTTGATGCTGAAACTTGGAGCGTTTGTATGCAAAGCACTTACTTCACCACTGAGCTCTGGCTGAAGATCACATCACCCACACTGTTTGATTAAATATCCTTTCTCTCTGCCTTGTTCTTCATTTTTGGAAGTTAGCTGGGTGAACTGGCCTTGTTCAAAACTTGCAAAACACTTTGCTCTTCTCTGGCCATGTAGAGGGTCACTTGAAACATGCCTGGCTTCCAGTGAGGTTCATCTGTCCCTTTCTAAGAAAGTCTAGAAGAGTGCAACCCTATATGTCTCTACTCAGAAGCAAGTTCCATGGTTTTGAGTGAGGCCTACTCCCAGGGATGTCTGTATAGTGGGTTGCAAGTTTAAACTCTTTTGTCTACTGATGTTGTATCTGCTACTGGGTCTATGCAGAAACAGCTCACTGTGTGAGATGGGGTGGAGCTGCTCGCTTCCTGGCAAATGAGTCACTGTTGCCAGGAAGTAGAGAGAAGGGAAGAGGCAGCAGGGAAGTCAGCATGCTACACCAGCAGAACAAGTCCTGTGCTCCTTGCAGTATTTTTGCACCACAACAAACTCCATACCGCATCACTATTCCCTTCCAGATAAGCAACAGTGACCTACCTGCTGGGAAGCTGATGTAGTGGCCCAACTCACCATGTAAGCCAGTTCTGCTTCAAGCGTATACAGTTGTTCCTTGGAAGTCGAACAGAATCCATTCCGGAAGTCTGTCCGACTTCCTAAACATTCAGAAACCAAAACTGCAGCTTCTGATTGGCTGCAGGAAGCTCCTGCAGCCAATCGGAAGCAGCTGAAACCACATCAGACATTTGGCTTCCTAAAGAACGTTAAAAAACACTCACTTCTGGGTTTCGATCATTTGGGAGCCAATTTGTTTCAAGATCCAAGGTATGATTGCACTAGAAATTTAGCTTTGCAGAATTGAAGTGGATTAAAGCACGGTCACTATGGCGCAACAAATCTGCTTTTTAAAAACATGCCCCATTGGGAAAGTAATGGGGAGATGTAGTGAAAAGTGTGAGGTGAACGAATGATTAACTGGAAGATGTGTGAACACCCTGCAAGCAAATCAGGATGAGTGCTGATTGTCATATAACCACCTCGTAAACAAATCATAACAAATGCTCAGTAACAACCATAGTCTAACCAGTGTGTAAGCTTTGTGGAAAGGTCATCTGGAGAAGCCCTAAGTCAAACATCGGAGCAAGTCATACTTTCAAAGTGTTGAACAAATACTTATTAATCATTGCATTATCGTTGTAAAGAGGATAAATGGCTAGAGACAGGTAGCCAAATGGGTAGAATGAAACACTAAATGGTGAGTCTGCAGGGATCTGATGTAGAACTCTGAGCTCTTGTATAGCTTAGCATAAACACCTGGCTCTGCCTCCTGTTTCAGCAAATTTGTAGAAATGAAATATAATGGGGCACATATTTCAAGGAAATGGGGAGGTGGTATTGGGGCACTTGGTGATCCACACAGAACTGATCAGGTACATAAGCAGAGTTTTAATGGATCCTTGCTGGGAATTCAAACCTGAGCACAGATGGTACATTCCATTAAGGAGAGAAATGCTGCCGGAACAGAAATTCTACATACTGCCTTGAATCTCCCGCACCACCCTGGCACTGCCTTGCCTCTATTAAAAGGCTGGCTCCAGAGTCCGAGGGGGCTCCTGGCAGTCATAGCTCATATGGTATGCTTTCCTGAGTGGTGGCAAGTTCAAGGTTGCCCTTACAAGATCAGAAAAACAAAGGCAGCTCTGTTAAAGCACAATAACTCCCTCTCCTCTCAAATCCACAGTTGGGTAATACCGAACAAGCGTTCACAACATAGAGGACATGGTGCATTGCAAACAACAGCACCACCACACACATTTGCAAATGTATTTGTTAAATTGGCACCTCACCTTTCCATCAAAT